AGGACAAGATCACTCAGTGAGGCAAAATGGGTCAAGTGTTTCTGGATTACAGGAATACCCAAATTGCCCAGAATAGCAAACAAATGGTTCTGACAGGGAGCACACAGCCTCCCTCCCGTTCAGTCTGCAGGCAGTGTGCCCCAGAGGACACTGCCCGAGGGATCCCTCTGCACCTGCCCAGCACCAGCCCCCTCCCAGCTGCCCTCAGGCCATTCTGCTCCAGCCACTGCAGAGCCAGTGCTCTGGGAGCTCTCAGGGCTGACAGAATGGGCCCTGTCCCTGCTACAAAGCTCCCTCTCCTCCTTCCCTGCCCCGAGGCACCGACACTGAGCTGGGACTCTCAGTGCAGCCCACCTGGCCATGGCCCAGGGCAGGGCACAAACAGCTCCAGGTGCTGCACACCCACAGCTCCTGCAGCCACGATGAGCCTGGGCTGGGAGGAACCATTGGTCTGATGGGGCTGCTGCAAGTGGGAGCCTTCCATGGAAGCAGAGGAACACCTGTGGGAGCAGGTCCTCAGTGGGAGCTGCCACAGCCAGGACAGCTCACCTGCCTTCCTGTGGGAAACCATGGAATCCCATGGATCCCAGCATGGCTGAGGTGGAAGGGAGCCCTGGCATCATCCTGTACAGCCTGGGTCAAGCAGAGCCCCCCAGAGCCAGTGGGCCTGGACTGCTTCTGATGAGTGTGGAGCATCTCCAAGGAGGGAGATGCCATAACCTCCCTGGGCAGCCTATCCCTGTGCTGAGCCACCCTCCAGGAAGAGCAGAGCCCCACAAAACCCCACGTGAAGCACCAGAGCTCATACATAAATGTATTTTCTGTCCTTGTTGCTTCCATGAAAACCCAAGTGTTGCTATTTAGGATATGTAGCATTGCCAGGGCTGCTGAGTGCCTGGCGGGACAGCTCAAGAGTCCAAACACCCCTGCAAAGGCAAGTGCTGAAAGGAGGGGTGACGTGGCCCCCAGCCCTGCACCAGGCATGGCTGCCACCCACCATCACCACCACCATCATCATCATCATCACCACCACTCCTTCATCACAGCACGGCATGTACCTCCCGCCCTCCTCTTCCCTGTGCTCATCCTGCACCAAAGTGCACAGCCCTGCAGGGCTCCCCTGTGAGCCCTCCTGCAGCCCCACCTGCCAGCAGTGCTGATGGAGG